ATTTTGTTTTCCAACTGTTTTTTTGAAGGATGAAACAATAAACGATGGGGATGGCGCGAGTTATTATAGGATCAAATCAATGTCAACTACTGAACGCACAATGAAATATAAATCATATTATATTCAAAGTATATGATGCGCTAATGTATAGATAGATATATATAGAGTTTATTAATGACGGAATCCCATAGTTAAAATTCGTTCTTCATGATAATATAAAATAAAACCATCGAAAAAAAAAAAAACCTCATTTTTTTCATCAAAAGTATAATCATCAAAAATTTAAATTAATGTCTCATCCTTCATATCAGTCGATCGAAGAAGGACTCAATCCTCCTTTCAATCAGTCTTCTGCATTACCGAATCGCGCAGATGGTGATGGAAACCCCAAAAGTGGATTGCTGAGCTTCGGAGGGGTAGGCGGTAGCGGATATGGCAAACGCTGGTGGAGGGAAAAGTTAAACATAGCGTTTTTGATCTTATTATGTCTTGGGCTTATTACCTGGCTTTTGTTGAGTGGATTCTTGAAAGCACCAGATGGTATGTGTGTCAAGGTTATCTTTTTTTCCGAATTATTTATGCGAAATATAACTTTTTTTTTTTTAAAAAAAAAAACAGAAACTACCATGGAAGAGAATTCCAATCCCAATCTTATTATCGCAAAACATGGTGCCGTTGCCTCCGAGGTCGTGAATTGTTCACAAATTGGTGTTGATGGTATGTCATCTCGTTTGATCATTATTATTCTCTTTCATTTCCTCAAAATTCATTTTTTCTTTGAAAATTTTCACAGTATTGAAAGAAGGTGGTAATGCCGTCGATGCGATTATAGCTACCCATATTTGTATCGGAACCATAAATTCATGTGCGGCCGGTATTGGAGGGTATGCGTTAACCTTACGAGATGTCATTTTTACTTTGTCATAAATATAACATGTTAACATCCTTTTTCTCCTTTCGTGATCAGAGGTGGTTTTATGCTCATCCGCAAGCCTAACGGGTTCGCCGAATTTATAGATTTCCGAGAAGTCGCTCCCTTAAAATCTCATCGTGACATGTATGTCAAAGACACCAAATTATCTATAATTGGACCATTGTCTATTGCCGTGCCGTATGTAGTGATTAATTGATTTTTATAAGGTTTCTTTTCCATGCGTTTCTTAAATCCTTACAACCTTACGTTTCTTAAATAGTGGCGAAATTCGAGGGTTGAAATTAGCACACGAAAGGTATCTCAATTTGCACCAACATATTTTTCGGTGCTCGAAGAAACACGTAATTTAATAATTGTATGTGTGTATTTTTTTTTATAAAAAAAATAAGACATGGGAAGTTACCATGGAAACGACTTCTCGAACCATCCATCAAGCTCAGTCGTGACGGATTTGCTATACCCGAGGAATTGGCAATTCGTATGAAGGTAATTGACATTACAGTTGAACAATTTTGAAGAAATCACTTTCCGCTTTTTCGGTTTCTCACTTTTATCGCACTACAGATGTACAAGCACGAAATTGAAACGAACCCTGCCTTCCGTGACATTTTCTGCGATGCTAAAGGAAAATTGCTAAATGAGGGAGATATCGTTTTCCGTAAGAATTATTCGAGAACTTTGGAAAAGCTCGCTGAAGATTACAATGATTTTTATGAGGTATTGTGTTTGGCACGCATCAATAAATAAATAATTTATTTTTCCTTATCGTTCGTTTAATCGGTCTGTTTGAATAAAGGGTGAAATCGCAAGGTCGACAGTTGCCGAGATCCAACGCCAAGGTGGCATAATCACCTTAGAAGACCTGGCAAATTATAGGCCGGTGATTCGCGAACCCCTCGTTGGATATTATCAAGGAAAGAAGGTACTGTACTGCGTGATCTTTAAATCTTGGTTACATTGCTTTTCGCATAAAATCAATACACCAACACAACGAATCTATAGTTTATAACTTCCCCAGAGCCCGGCAGTGGCACCATCCTATTATTCTTACTGAACGTAATAGAAGAATTTAAGTTTCACAAGGAGGGAAGGAGTAAAGAGAATGTGCAACGGATGGTTGAAGCTTTTAAATGTAAGGACTGGAATTTTTGATTCCCGAGTAATTCCTCTGGTAGTTCTTTGTTAACCACCTAACCTTTCTTCTACACAGTTTCTATTGCGAGACGTAGCGAACTGGGTGATCCTGTATTCTTTTGAGATGATTTCTCGGATGCGTTCGAAATGTGCGGTTTTATTCTCGAGCTAGAATTTTTATTTTTAAGAAATAATGAGAATCTTAAATTCGCAAATATCATTTCCAA